ACTGACTGGCCTATAGTTTCCCGGGTCCTCCTTCCTCCCCTTTTTGAAGATGGGAACCACGCTGGCCCTCTTCCAGTCCTCTGGCACCAGGTATCAGTCCTCTGCCGGCTTAGGTATCTAAATGCCTTTGAAGCTCTGGCTCTAATACAGAATAATATGATCATTTCCTCTAGGCATCAGAACACTACCCTGTGCCTGCTTAGGTCTCCACATAGGAAGCAATTTCTATGCAAAAGAGAAGATGAGTGTGTTTTGAACTCAGCACTTTCCTCCCTTACTCAGGGTCTGCATTGTTATATTACCCCTTTGCCCCGTCATCCTTGACTCATGGACTCCTGTGTGCCCACAACACAGGGTCTTAGGCCTCCTTTTGCAGGGAACCTTAGCAACAACAACAACACTTCAGGCTTGCAAAACTGGAGGTCAGCGTCTGAAAAATCAAGCCCTCCGTCTTCAAAGCGGTGGCAACAGCATTAGCTGCAAAAAGGTACACCATGTTAGAAAACAGCCAGAACCAGCTTGTCAGGGACTCATTTTGCTGCAAACTTTTAGTAACAAAACCACAGAATGGATATAGCTGGAGAATGAGTGTAGGGTAGGAAGAAAGCTGCAAAAGCAAACTGCAGGGATTTTTTTTTTAATTATTATTATTCCTTCTACTAAGCTTCTGGCACCACCTTTTGGAATAGGACATTATGACATCCAAGCTGATGCTGTTTTTCTCTTTGTGTTTCAGCGGGCTCCTCTCTTTCACAGAACGATCAGGTACCAACAGAAGTGACTGAACAGAGGCCGTGCTTGCAGGGCTGGTTCATTAGTTGCTGATAGCGCTCACATCCCTCAAGCCATGGCACTTCTGTAAACCCTATGATGAAACTAAGGGTGTTCAAAGATGCTGCACTTGTCACAACTTGCAACCGGGTTTCTATGCTTAGGACCTTCCATCCTTGGGCCAGCTAAGTAGGCTGCGTGCATGTCTTGTGTGACAAGCACCTTGGTGAGGAGGACGGGAGCAGCAGTAGGAGCCCTGAGGGTGTCCACCATGCAGTGATGATGCGTGGAAGGATGGAGTAATAAATCCACACTGAAATTCGGAGGCTTGGGACGATCAGCTTCCCCATTCCAGTTCCCAATTCCCTCACCCACCTTACCAGTTACAGCCCCATGATCATTACAAGCCCTCCAAATCTGACACGTGCAAGAGGCAAAAGCATCCCCCTTGCCAGGGCAGAGCCAGCTCTGCCAGGCTTTTGAGTGCCAAGGCAGGTCAATTAAACCAATAGTGGCTCTAATTAGCACTCCCACCAGCTGTTTGAAGTGGAGAAGCTCAGGGGACATGGCCAGATTCTCTCCCGCCTTGGAGGACATCAAAGAAATCATTCCCATTCCTCCCCTGATGGCTGAGAGCCACGCACTGGGGACAAGCCAGGGGCAAGTGGAGCATGGAAAAGACGGGGTTGATCACTGCATGTGATGACCGTGGGATGTGAAGCCATTTTCCATTCCTCTCGCTCTGATCGGCGCACCGTAATGCTTTCTCTTTCTCACAGGGTCTAAGCTAATGCTCATCCAGGTTAAGCTGTTCCTCCATCTCTTTCATACGTGATCCTGGCCTGAGTGTCTTAAAGGGAAAACAGGACAGCAGGTGGTTTATCCTTTCCTGACTGGTCACCTTGTGTGGGTGGGCTGGACAAAACAACTGAATCATACTACTCCTACATGCAAACATAACACTTCCTAGCTCCAAATGAGGAGAATACCTGTAGAAAGTCAGCACAACCTTTGCAAGCCTCATCAGGGAGCAAAGCTGCTTTGACTGCATGTGGCAAATGCTACTGAAGTATTACCTGGTCCACAGACCGTGGACTTGATTCCAGTTTTCTCCAGCGCTGGGACTCTGTTTATAGCACCTTCAATATGCTGCATGAAAACATCCCAGTCCAGATCAAAAAGGCCAAAGGCGAATTTGTCAGATACCTGGTGGGGACAGAGGAAGAGAGCTGAGTGAGGAGGTTTATTTTATAACGCACACCCTTATTTTGGGAGCTCCTGATGGGCTGTTTCCTGTAAGGTGCCTGCTGAAGCCAGTGGGAGCTTAGGGATTGACGAAAAACCAGTCACAAGGAGCAACCTCAGGGCCCCTTGAAGTCAAAGGGAGTTTTGGCATCATCTCAGATAGTGCCAGGATTTTGCCAGAGCCCATGTTAACTGCTCAGTGAAGGGGCAGCCCCTTTGTGATCTTGCCCAAGGTCACTCCTGGGATCTTTGGCATGGGTGAGACTGGATTAGGGACTTTTGAGATCCCTCTCTCCTTGCTGGCCCCTTTCAAGTAGGTTTGCTTCTTGTGCAGACCTCTCCCAGATCCAAAGACCACCAGCTTTCAAATTGCATCCCACTCCACCCCCGGGACCCAGCTGAGGTTCAGTACAAAGGGTCCTGGTTCCTGGCTTTCAGGCGTTAATGAGAGCTCAAGGACTCATTTCTGCCCCTTCTTTGTCAAACCAGGTTTCCCAGGAATGTGTTTCATTTCTTATGAAAACCTCTCCTCACTGCTCACCTCCTCCCAGAAGATTGGATTTGACTCGTATCCGCCCACAGAGAGGGCATCGCCTTGGAGACGAAGATACACTGAAGCATCGTGATCTCGAACATTCGGCATATTCTAAAAATAAGTAGAGAGGAATAGCATCAAGCCGTGGCAGGAGAAAGCCAATCATGCTTAGTTGAGTCACCTGAGCAGCTTCTGTCCCAGGATCCTGAGCCAGTGGGCACACCAGAGCTGAGTGGAGAACCATCTCCCGACCAGCAGGGATGTTCTGGAGATTTGCTTTGCAGTGTAGTTATAAATTAACCATACAGGTAACCTAGTTATTTGTCCTCATGGCCTCATCCACCTTGTCTCCCTTGGGTCTCATTGCATAATCTGCCAGAACATCAAACCCAGCCCCGGCTTTTACAGCATGCCAGGTCCACAGTGCAAGGAGTGGAAGAAGCCAGCTCTGGCAGGTCACTCACTTCTGGCCAAAAATTGGCAAAAGGACCTGTAGCATCCTCTCCCAGCAATCCTACTTCAGCTGTATTCCTCTACTGGCTCCTTGCTCCTTTGCCCATATTGCCACCCCCTAACTCCATGCCAGCATGGGGCTGATGATATAATCACCGAGCTCCCTCAACAGGAGAGAGACACTAAGCCACTGTTGCACAGTATGGTGTTTATAACCGCTCTGATGATATTGTTGTATTTTTTTTAACCACAATGTTTTCCCTCATTATTTACAATCCCATATTCCCTTTTGAGTTTCCAACCATATGTTTGCACTGGCACGCACTAGTTTGTTACCTCTGGGTTGCTCAAGAGTGATGGCACTGAACACACCTAAATGGCATTGCAGGATTTAGAGACAGAGCGGACTTCCACAGTATGGCTGTGACCAGCTCGAGGCCCATGAGGGTTAAGCAGATAGCACTGCTTTATTTTAAAGCACGGCAGTTTCTTTTTGTGTGTGTGTGCAGACTTGGCAAACAGGCATTGAGAAGAAAGACTGGTGGCAGCCAGTCACGATGAATTAGCTTCAGTGCTGGGCCCTTCCTGAGCCCCCTGCCTGGGTCCTGGTTAGAGTACAGCTCAGACACCAGCAAAACAAGATTAGCAGCAGACATGATACATGTGAAGCTCTGAGGTGCGCACTGCCAGAAGGCAAAGGGGGGTTAAGCAGCTGCAGAAGGACTGGAGATGCTGATATGATTAAATAAGCTGAGTCTAATTTGCTAAGCAGGTTCCTCGTGTGTGCCGGCCCCAGACCAACAGAGCAAGCCAGGCCGGGCTGAATAGGAGCTGGTTTCTATCCTGACGGAGGCTGAAGATTAACCACTTACAAAACAGTCCCAAATCCACCCCATAACTCCTTCCCCCGAACGACCCCTGAGTGGCTGTGGAAGGAATGGAGATGGCACTCAATCAGTATAATGTGACTGCTGTGATTATATTAAACACGGCGATGGGACCATCATTTTCTAGGCGCTCCTGTACCAAGGCATGAGAAGATAGTCTGATGAGAACTGGCAGACTGGGGAACCAATGTGTTTCAATGCAATGTATGCGAAGACATATTTATTTCTCTCCTACCCCACCAACAGAGAAAGGTGAAAGGGTACAACAATCCAGTCTCTCATGCATGGAGAGCAGTGGACTGGTTTTTTTAAATGGTATACATGCAGATGTGGAAGTAGTACAAGTGGAATGATTATACTATATTATCCGCTAGTATCCAGTATTATCCACTAATAATTCTTAGCATTTTAATAATAGACACTGTTGTTAGTGGTTAGGGATACCGCCCTACAAAACCTATTCTCAACCCAGCCATTGACTTGCGAGGAAGCCTTGGGCAACAGACCTTTCCCCTCACATTGATGAAGAGGCAGACAATTGTCTGCCTCATCATCAATGTTAGTTGTAAACTCTTCAGGGCACGGACCATCTTGGAGCGTATTTGTGTGGCAGCACAAAGGGGGCCCAGTTTTGGTTGGGACTGCTAAAAACCGGTGTAATATAAATAACCATCTTATCTATAAATGACCCCTTAACATCAGCTGTCAAGGAATCTAAATGTAAAAATAACAGTCATCTTGGTCAAACACTTTGCAATTGCCTAAACTCTAGCCAGGATTTAGTATTGTTATGACACGACGTGAATGGTGAATGGTGTCGCAGCATTTAGGCTCCGACTCAGCAAAGCGTTTAAACACACATTTGCCTTAAGTATGTGTTTAATCAGCTTCTGTTCAACCCAATGTCTAAGCACGTGCTTAAATCTCTCTGAAATGTGAAAGAGAGGGCAAATGACATTTCTACATGCTCCAGGTTCAATTTTGCCCTGCTTTAATCCTCTCTGTAGCCCCACTAAGCCCTGTGGGCAGGTCTGTGGTAGAGCCAGCCCCTCGGTATCAATTTGGCTGATGCTTTGTGCAGGACTGGCCCGCCTAAACCTTCCCGCGTTTGAAGCCAGTATAGGTGGATGATCACTGAGGTTTCCTGAAAGACGCCCTTCTCTGTACAGAGCTCGTGTTGCCCAAGAGAGACATCTAGCTGCAAATGGAGGGATGAGCTCTGCCCAGGCAACATTTGTCTCTGAAAAGCTGCAGATTACTGCGCGGAGATGGTGCAGGCTCAGACACAACTGGGATCTGCTCACACGTGTGAAACAGGTGATGTGCTCTTTCCACGGCAAAGAGAGGGACCAGAGAGGGCGTTCTCAATCTCGCTGCTTCGTGATGCTCTTAAGTACCCACAGGGCACTGGGGGCAAATACAGCCAGGAAGCATTTGTACAATCATCTTGCAAAGTAAACCCACTCCGTGCAGGTTCTCTCTTATTTCCTTATTCACGCACATTTGGGGGTAGGAAAGGAAAAAAAAATGTTAGTGGCTTGGATCCTAAGATTTGGGAAAACGAGAAGTCCCCACATCCTGGCCCAAGTCTCTTCTGCAACATGCCCAGTAGCACATGGTGGGTCGCAAGCCTGCCAGGCACAGAAGAGGAGCAACGGACTAACCTGAATGCCCTCTATCCGCTCGGTCACCACATACGCATGATGCATTGCCACCAGGGGCACGCTGACGCCAGCCATCTGACCTAGGGCCTGGGCCCACACACCTGTCCGAAACAAGAAACCCGACTAAAATAAACTACCTCTTAGTGAAGACGAGTGTCCATCACTCAGGTCACCGCTGGACCTCGTGGGGGTCTTCAGGCAGAGACCTGCGGCTCAGAGAGCATTCAGACACCCACCAGATGGGTTTAAACAGGGAATGAGCCAGGCTCTTTGACTCCCATGCAACCCAAAACCAGTAGCTTCATCTGGGGTCCTTCCCCTCCCTGATTATAGCTGTGGGGAACCAAAGAGTGGCCCACATGCATCAGAGGCTAGACAAACCCTAGTAACCATTGGGACAGGAAGGGTAAGTGCCATCCTGGCACCGTCCCAAGGGGCAAGATCGATGGGTCAGCGGCTTTTATTCCCTACCTGCACAGTTCACCACGCAGGGAGTCTGGATGGTCCCATAGTTTGTTTCCACGGCAGTGACCCTCTGCACACCAAAGTCATCAGTTCTGACCTGGATACCGGTCACCGGGCAATTCTCTATTACCTGCAGACAGATAAATCACCTGTGCCCCTGGAGCTGGGATGACATGCCAGACCCATCAGACCACTGCTGTTGCCCAGCCCAGCTCTGCAGCCACGATGCTTCGTTCCTATCTAGGAAACACCTGACCGAAACAGATCATTTTCTTTCACTTCCATAAAATCATGACTGTCCCTGGTGGGTAATTAAATCCTCCTTTTTAATTAGGGGCTTCAATTACTTGCCAGCGCAGTTACTTGGGTGCGATTCTGAACTGCAGAGAGCTCTTATTATTTATTCATATTGTAGTAGCACAGAGGAGCCTTGGTCCTACACCAAGGTTGCAGGAAGGGCTGTACCCGTACACAGCAATATGATGATCCCTCACCCAAGGGGCATAGTACATGTTCCCAACTCAATAGTCTTGACAAAGCTGTGTTGGGATCTCTCTCATCTCATCTGTATTTCCCTGAGTCTTGTAGCGCCTTTACAAATCCAGTGCTAGCTCTCTACCCGATGAGATACAGGTGGGCTGCCCTTCCAGCCAGGCCAGTCAGGGCTGTATCCTCATCACCCAAAAGAAGCGCTGCTAAGCAGAGCACGACAGCTCAGAAAACACCTGGAGCTGGTTCATGAGTGTCATGGGGGAATTGTTTCATCTCTGTCATCAGAGGTGTCAAGAAGAGGTTGGATAAGTATTGATCTGGAATGATGTAGCAGTAGCTATGCCTGTGCTATGCTATGCTTCGCTGCCCGTGCTTCTCGCCCTGGCTGGTTGCTACAAGGGGTCTGGAAGGGAATTTTTCCCCCCTCCCGTTGCTACATGTGGGGGCTTTTTGTCTTCCTCACTGGGTGGTGGCTGAAGCCCAGGCTGGAGGTTTTGACTGGGGGGCCAGTTACCAAAGCGCCTCTGGCAGTTGCTGCCCTGGTAAGTGTTGTGCAGGTACCAGCAGGATCCACCGTGCCATCCTTAGGGACGTAGAGCGTGCCATACAGATCATCCACATTCATCAGCGGATACAGGTCCTTCGTTTCTGCGGGGGACAGGACATAGGACTCTACGCCATACACCTTGCCCAGCTAAAATGAGATACAGAACAGATGTGTTGGAGCAAGCAGGATAGACCGGTGATGTGTCTTCAGTTTTCTGCACAACAACCGCCAGTAATAATGAGACAACACAATGCACCTCTGGGTCCCCAAAAGCTATGAGCAGACAGCTACGAACACTGCTGCAGTGCGGCTCTAACTGGCTCCTGTGGGATTCCCAAAATACAGAACGTGGCAAATGCCTCTAGCAAGCTCCCACCCTAGCGAAAAAGATAGGGCCCTCTTCCTATACAGCTGTGCAACATATGATGTACTAAACATACATTATTTTGATATGTATGTTATGAATGTATGGAAAAAATTATGATGTGCTAAACAGAAATGGGAAAAACCTCCAGGGATAGGTTTGGTTCTGCAAAGCCCAAACTGGGGATGCGTTTGATTTGGGGATCTGTATATCTAAGACCTATGTATCTTTTGCATACATAAATATATGTGTGCATGTGTGCATACACACACCACACATGCACACACACAATATACAGCAGGGCACGAGGATACCTAATGGGCCATGACAACATGCATTTTTCCTGTACTGGGGAGGATGATCACTTGTGAAACCATGATTCCTGGCGATCCTGCCCAGAGAGCTGCTCCCTTTCATTTCATTACTGAGAACAGCATAGAGGTTTTGTTGGCTTTAGTCTTGTGACTCTCAGCTTGGCAGCATGGGAGGCCTCTTTCACCATGCATGCAGTAGCCACCAGTGGCATTGGTTTCTAGCCAAAACCACCTCAGCTATAATCCAAGTCTGCGCTAGCACCGCACAAGATAACGATGGTCTGTGCAAACTCGACTGTTAGGAATCACAAGGTGAGCTACAGCCACCTTCACCTCTCTGGGGTCTCTGATCCCCACTCCCACCTCTCCCCTTCCTCAGTTCATCATCGCTGTGCTTTTACAGACAGGGCTCGACTCTGAAGCCTGCTGAAAGCAATGGAAAGCCTCCCTGGGACCAAGGCCGCTCCATGTACCCGAAGTGAGCCCCCCTTCTATTCCCAGCCTCTAATCCCGACTCTTCCTGCCCTTAGAATAGTGCTGCAAAACCTTCTCCTTTGATAAAGCTTTCCCACCATCACCTCAACCTATTACCTGCCCCAACCAGAGCTACTGATAACTTGCCAAGGGAACCCCAAGAAATTCCTTAGGGACTTGGCTACTGGCAAGTTGGTTTGGGTGGAAGGTGCACAGATACCGCGTGGATGGGCAGCAGTGCACACCCCCCAAATAACTAGACCTCCCCAAAATCCCTTCACGCAGCTAGCGGGTAACATCCACCCCGATTCATTTGGACAGGAAGGCAGGACGACTCCGCTTACAGACATGAGCCTCTTGTACTCGTCCAGCCGCTGCTTGCTGGAGGCGATGAAGAGCCCGCCGTTTTGGATCCAGCCTGTGTGCAGACCTGTCTCCTCCTCAAGGTCCCGGCTAACCACGTTGCGAGTGTGCGCCAGCAGCTCCACTTCCACGTCGCTGGGGCGCAGCTGCCACAACAGACCTGGGAAGAAACCACAGAGAGCCCAGGAGATTTGGGCTTCACCCCCTCTTCCTTGGGGTTGGGGTCCTAGCCCACAAGCCGGGCAAGCAGCTTCTATCTGGGGAACTGCAGGATTATCCAAAAGGAGCTCTAGCAATGAGAACAAGCTCATCCCTGACCTGCTCACCATCCCCGAGGCAGGTCAATAATGCAAAATAACTGGGTTTTTGGCTTGATGGAGGAACTGAAAAAGTAAAAAATAATTGTTCTGGGTCCCCACAAAATGATTCCCCCCCCAGGTTTTTTCACTGAAATAAACTGTCTGCAAACATTTGTTTCTGGATCAACTAAAATGCTTGCTGTGACTTGGGCGGTGGGGTGGAATTACTCCATTTTTGGAGAGGACTCTAAGTTTAAAAAAAAAAAAAATAGAAACAGAGGGAAATTACAAAAATCTTTGACAGGAAAAAAACCCATCACATTTTTTTACATTTTTTCCCCCAGCCAGAAACAGAGGCAATATGGCTCAACTTCAGAAAGGTTTTGAACAGTGTCCTGTGTTAGAAAGGTATTCTCCTAAGGTGGGGAAATATGGTCCAGATGAAACTGCTGTGAGAGATGCCTGTCTGGGTGGGAAATCACGCTGTATGATGTCCTGCAATGTTGAACTGGGAGGAGTCATCACAGGGGCTTTCACTGTCTGGGGTCTGGCCCCATTCAAAACCTTTATTAAATACCTACCAGACACTTTCAATATCTGTACCTGACACCTAAAAAAGCTGCTAAGCGAGTCCTAAGCACCAGCAGCACCCAGAGCTCCCACTGACACTACAATGCGGATGACTGGCCCTCATCATGGGAGAAAAGCCAGGAGACAAGTTGGCTTGTGGGTGGACAAGCCCCCCAAGCCTTCCTCTGCACCTGTTTTTCTATGGCAGCTTGCACGAGAGCTGATCCCCACAGACCGCTCCACTCACCTGCCGTGTGCCAGGTGGTCCCTGAAGTCAGACGGTCTCTTTCCAGCAAGACTGCATTGGCTACCCCCATCTTTGCTAGGTGGTAGATGGTCTGGCAACCCAAGCTGCCTCCACCCACCACCACCACGTCAGCCACCTTGGGGAGCGGCTTGGTGGGCCCTTGGGCTTGGGAGCTTTCGTCCTTCAGGGTCTTGTGGTAGGGGACGCTCTTCTCCGTGGTCTGGGCCGTCGCGCTGCTGAAACACCTTCGGCAGAGGCTTCTGGCGGTGGCTGGCATCTGGAGGGAGGCAGCCATTCGGAAGGTGGAGCTCAGGTGGGCCATGGTGTCCTGCAAACCGACAGGCAGCTTTCAGCAATGTGAGGAGCTATTTCTGCATGTGCCGGCAAAGCAAGAGGCATAACAGCACATTTGGCACCCCAAGCGGAGATGCTTTTGAACAGAGGCCTCCAGGGTTGGAGCTCTAAACGGGCACCCGGGGCTACTGCTCCCCGTGGTCTGCCCTGGCTGTGCTACTACCTCACACCCAAGGTATTCACGGCTGCTTATAGCACCATTGCATGTGGGAACCCAAGTCAGGGGCTGGGATATTATCAACAGACCCAAACCAAAGTGTCTACCTCACGTGCAGTGTCACAAGGTATAAAAAAAACCCTTCATGGGCTGCAAAGGGGCTGTGGCAAGTGCAGTCAATCAGCCCCAACCTGCTGCAGCTGAGCAATGGAGCGCGGACCAATTGCTCTCTCCAGAGCGGGGTAGGACTGTAGCAAGACAAACCCTCCTGAAGGAAAGGTAAGCCTGAGATGGGGCTGTGTGGATTTTATCTAGGGCTTTATGATGGTTTTCATGCAGGGGGCTGAGGGAGAATGCGGGTGGGAGCCCAGAAGGACAAACCACCTCAAAAGGGATGAGAGTTAAGCCTGCTTGGGATCAGCTGAGCTCTATCTTGCTTTGTGTTGGGCTGGTGATTCAGGTCTCTGGCACTTTGGGGAGTAAGGGACGTTGGAGGTGGGAATGAGCTTTTGTAATAGCCTGGCTGGAGGGATAGGTTATATGGCACCAATGCTGCTGGGGAAACAGAGGCAAAGCTGCTGCACCGATGAAGTCTTGCCTGGGAGAAGTGCATGGGTGTGGGGAGCAATGTGGCCAGGGCCACAGCCTGTCACTCTACGTTGTAGAGGCTTTCTGGAAAAAAGTTGGGGTGGATGGTGGCATCTCCCTGAGCTCGCCTCCTTAGACCCCCCTCCCCACACACACACACACACACACACACACACACATGCGTGTGCACCATGCCTGGCTCAATGCAGTGGCATGGGCTCCTGCCAGGGAGAGAAGCCTGGGTGGACACAAGCTGAGGCAGCTGCTCACATGTGTGTGCAAAGTGAGCAGAGGCAGAAAAGAGGCTCTTCCAAACTCTTCTGTGAATATTGCCACTTGTCCTGGTCGAACTGGTCATTGTGGATGGGGCAGTGGCCGTCAGAAGCGGGGACTGGGTAATGCTGCGGAGGGAATGGACGTCAGAGGCACGGGTCCTGCTCTGGGCTGTTCCCACGACTCACCGTGTAGCCAGGAGAAAGTGCGCACTTGGCCCCAAGGGGTAAGCCAGGGACGGGGGGCAGCAGGCACGTCACAAATTAGTCCCGCACCCTCCTCAAGTGCCACTCTGATCCTCTTCCCCTGCCCAATCTGCAGCTCTGATGTTTGCTCCCCGCCCAATCTGCTGCCCATCCCCTCCTAGCCTGTTGTGTGCCACACGCCAAGGCTGCCCATGCCATTTGTGGCAGGTTGCACTGAGCTATGGTGTGAATATAGAGCACGGGCACGCTCCACCATCCTCAGTTAACTTATACTGCCTGCAAGAAGGGGAGAATACTACTATCCTGTTCGGCCCCAAGGAAGATGGGAGAGGCTGTGACTATTCACTATTTAGCACCTCTCTCACCTGTGGTGACTTGTTGGTCTGGATCTCCCACATTTCCCTAGCTTTTATTTTCCTGCTAGTTGCCTGTTCTGTTGGCTTCAAGAGGAAGCAATCCTCTCAACCAGTGACTGTGGGAACCCAGGTGAACATTTATGGACTTCAGCCCAAAACTACAGAAGGGGATTGGAAACTGCAACACGGGTTTGCAGAGGGAAATCTTCCAGCTGAACATGGTCCTCTGAAACAGCTGCTGCCCAAAGCAAATAGCAATGCAGTCCCTCTTGCTTTGACAGAGATCTGCTAGAAATACACATATTTTGGGGGGAAAAATGCTAAAACCCCTGATCCACGTGCTCTCTCCGCCTCAGAAACCAAAAGACGGATAAAAAAGGATAAACTGTAAAAACTGTATCGCATAAAAAACCCCCACCACAGGATATTTTTTTATAACCCTCAATTTTTTTTTTATTTTTTTTGGTGGGGGGTGACTGGTCCCTGGTTTTTGGATAGCTGGGATTGGCAAGACTGCCAATACATGCACTCTATCTAGTGAAGGCACTTCATTCCTTGTACGTGGGCATCCCATGGCCATCACAAAAAGGGTGGGATTTCCCCATATAAGCAAAAGATTGTAATCTCTGACCCCAGAAAGACTCCATGGCATGGGGGACAGGACAAGCTACATACCCTCCAGTGGGGTATCCTCCTTAGTTCTCCACCCCCTGCCCCTAAATACGCATGCATCTGCCCGTTCTGTCTATTCAGGCTGGGTGCTGCAACAAGGATCGGACCCTGTCTTCGGGGCCTGTCTGCATTATTTTAGCTCTGGGATCAGATGCCAGAACTGTGCCCCTACTCACCCCTTGTGTTAAACTTTCCACTGAGTAAACAGCTCTTAATGTCTCTTGCCAAGTCAGCAGAGCTAAGGCCAGGGAGTCTGGGGTCGCTGCTCCCGTGGCAGAAACTTGCTCCTCAAGTCAGAAAAGTTTCAATCCACTTTGTGCCGAGCAACGAGCCAGGTCTTGTCCACACAATTCCAAGACGTTCTTCCCTTTGATATATCACACACATACACGCACGCATCTATTCCTGCAAACTGGTCTAAACAAACTTCCACAGCCTCAGGGCATGTCTTTCATTGCAAAGACTCTCCTCCCTGAAAAGGAACTTGCACCGCTCGCTCGCATCCACGTTTCCCCGCTGCTCAGCCAGCCCGGCTGTGCCCTGCAAGCCCAGCTTCCTGGCACGGCTGCTAGAAACAGCTGAATCCCTTTACCTGGTCAGAGGGCTGTTCGGTTCTTGCCGCCTTCCTTTGTCAGCGTGGCTCGCTTCCTCTGACACGCAGGCTCCGCTGCCACAGAAACATTAACCAGGGGTTGAGGGAACCGTAGCCAAACTGCTGGCCAGCTACAACTATTCCCAGAGTCCAGATGGCTGTGGGAAGGCAGGAGAGCATGTGCTGGCTTCCATATCGGGTAGCTCTGCTCGGCACGCCTCCTCACACACACACATACCAGATGGATGTGGCACTGTCCTCAACCGCAGAGCCTGACAAAGATCAGAGAGGTTAAAAATGGAAAATGCCTATTAAAATTACCTAGTCTCCACTCCTTTTGATCACACCACAATATACACTGAAGAGCCCAGATGGGAACTGAACCCGGAGCTTTTCCAGGTTAGGAGGCCAGCGTAGCACCCCCAGGCTTGCCCAGAGCTATTTGAGCTATTCAGCTCCCTGCCATCTGTTGTTGCCATAAAGGGAACACAAGAAATGAGAGTCACACTGGAACCTTCAATGCAGTTTTCCTGCTGTTAAAGTACCCCTCGTGTCCTGGGCATTTTAGCAGAGTGAAATTAAAGTGCGACTCAGAGATGAGTTTTTAACTGGAAGCGAGCCTGAGCTGAAAAGTCGAAAGATGGGAGCCCACCCCCCGCAACTAGTGCATTTCATAGATATCTAGACCTTCCATTTTGTTCAGCATCCCCCGAACAAAGGGGGTTTGTCAACGCCCCAGCGAGGACCGATCTGGTCCCTTCTCCAAAAACGAGAGACAATATACAATAACTTACAGGAGACCCTAGATCTTGCTAGCCGGTAGGATACTGAGAGGGAAGCCTATGTAGCAATGGGGATGCATTCACAGGGGGGGACGCCAGCCAAAAAGTGATCCAGGGCTCGATACACATAATAACCTACAAGGCTTGGGTTGATCCCCAGAACCATCCCACTCCCCTGCTCCGTTATTCTTCTAGGGTTTCCATTTGCTAAATATATTGATATCTAGAGATTAATTGGAGTAGCAGAGTATAATCTGCCCCACACTGGGTTTAGAGGTGACTGCCTATGGAAGACCATACAACCCAAGGTATGTGTTATAGCAGCTAAAGATGCTCATTAAATTCAGAGCCAATCTAGGTGCCACAGGAGTGTGTTTTCTGGTGCTCTCGCACCAATGTGTGCTTAAAGGAGGCACCCTGGGTGGGAAAAACAACAGGTAATTGCTGGCAGTCAGTCTAGTGTAGACAGGGGCTAAGCCGATTCACTTAATTCTACATAAGAGAAAACAAGCCGGTAAATCAGAGAAGGAAACAATTTGTAAAAGAGGGGCAGGGAGTTTTCTAGGTCATGCAAAAGCAGACATGGAAAATAGTTGAGCATGATACAAAACTGCAGCTCATTGTAAGATGCACGAGGCTGGAAATGCATGGCAGCATGACCACGGCCAGAGCTGGAGCGCCTGTCCCTTTGTCCCAGTGCACTGGGACAGCCTGATCCAAGCCTAAGAAAGGCAGAGCTCAAGCAGCCTCCAACAGCACCTCAGATCCTCAGGAGACTCAGGTGCTTTGGCCAGCTACTCCCCTTGTTGGTGCCTTGGTTTCCCCATCTCTAAAAGAGGGTTTGCAATATTCTCCCACCGCTGCACAGTGCTTTGAGATCACTGGCTGGGAGCAATGGAAGTGCTTCTGCAGGCACTGGCCCAGTATGGGTCTCCAGAGTGCCCAGGTGCAGCACGGTTGCAGTGCAATGATTTCCCAGGCCCCCGTCCCTCTCAGCCGTGCAGGTCCAGTTAGCAACCTTTCCTTGCATTCATGGTCGGCCTGCATCGCTTGCATGAGTTCATTGTGCTTTACACTCTTGCCTGCTAAGACAGAGGAGGGGGGGAGGTGGCTGCACGCCGGTCGCTGAGTGGAGAAGAGATGTGCAGGGCGTGTTTGAGGCAGAGGGAGGAACTTACTCAGCAACCAGAGCCGGTGGCTGTTCCAGCTGTGCTGCAGAGAGGGCTCGCTTTGCCTTGAAGTGGGACCTACTGTTTGCTGATCACAGGCCGACTAGGAGACAGCCCTAACCAGCAGAATCTGGGTTTGCTCGTTAGCCGAGGCACCACCATGTCCAGGAACACGGGCCTGGGCTTGTCCTGGTCAAGCTGGAAGTTGCTATTGCTCCCACCTTGTCTCACTTATAACCACCAAGCTGAATAAACAGGCTCCGGTGCCTAGTATCCACAGCTCTGGCTGTGAAAAGTGGGGTGTCCCTTCTGTTCCATCCATCAGAAACTCCCAGCAAGTCAGATTTCTTCCTTCTCCCCATTCAAAATCTTCTATGAAGTCCACTGATGCCAACCTATGTGGGTAAAACTGCTCCTACTCCATCCTTTACCTCCCACCGCCACCCTTACATAACCCCCAGCACCTTGCCTAAAAATGGAGCCATTCTATTAGGGTAGGTACTTGCACCGTCCTAGCGCCGTCCCCTCTGAATGCTTCCCAGGAGTGTCGCATGGCTTCGCTGCCACTGAGAAGCCAAGGCTGGGGGATGGAGGGGTGTTCAAGGAGTTTACGACTGAAGATACCCCTGGGGGAAAGCTTAGACTGAGAAGCAGGTTTAGTGCTTACCTGGGCGTGCTTCCAGGGTAAGGGCATTTCTTACTTCTGGCAACAAGTTTCAATGGGAAAACATCTGTTCCCCGCAGTCTGGCTTGAGTCTGGCTGAGTGCTGAGGATGCAGGTCATCAGGGATGGAGCATGGGCGGTGTCTTCTCCTTGCCTAGGGGTGGGGTGGTGCCACTTCCATGCACCATACGGTGCACTGCACTTCTTGCTTGGTTTGTGTGTTATAAGCTGGCACTGCAGGAATCCCAGAATCAGCTCAAGGGGATCGCAGATTCTCATGTTGTTAGGGAGAGCGCCAAGATCCTGAGCGAGTGACGGAGTTGTATGGGCCTGCATTTAGTGCCCAGCTGGCCAGGCTGGTCCACAGAACAGGGTGACAATAGCTGCGGAGCCAGCGAAGGCAGCTGGAAGGATCCCTCAAAGCAAACCTGAAAGTAGGGTTGACCCCTATCTGCCTGCAAAGCATCTTTTGCAATGCCCCCCACCCCTACAAAAACTTGGCAGCAGGTGACGACTGTGAAAGTCAAGCTCAGGTGGATCCACTCACCAAAGTTAAAATATTGGCAACTTCATAGTGCAAGAGGATGCAACTTTGTGGCTGGACCTTCGGATAAGAAATAACGAAGCATCACTTCCAGCTTTTCCTGCTGTATTTATGATGATTTTAAGCAGACTCCTGTGTGTCTGGTATGTAACTGTGTGAAATGTCTACCCTTGAGTAATTGGTAACTATTTCTTTTCAATAATTCGTGTATATGTGCAGGAAGAGACATTCTCCATCTGGGCTTTGATAAGTGTCTCCGCCTGATTTACTCTCGTTTTGCCTCAGTGGTTCCCTTGATCTTCCAAGGACAACTCTTTAGAAAGGCTTTGTGTTTCTCCCGGTCGTTCATCTATTTCCTGATATGTTCCAACTCAGGAGAGATTGATAACCTCCTGTTACTGAATAAAGCAATTCAGGCAAAATTGGGCCTTTCCGATAATAAAGAACGAACAGTTGAAAACAGGACCTTCCTGTTTATCGCTTGGGCTTTTCTGTTATTTGGTTACAAAAAAGCTTTGAAAACCTGGAGTTAAAAGTATACACGTCAAACAAAAGGGCTAACAAGCCACGCTTCGAGAATGAGAAATCATTCGGACAAGAATGGCTGCTGCGCCCAGCTGCTCTTCTGGTGAACACATCCACGTGAACAAAACGGAGACCACCTCTTTGCCTGCATCAGTGAGACAGCATCACTTTTACGGCTAAATCTGCTGGGCTTTGCTTTGCTTTTGGCTCATTGAACAGGGAATGCTTGTAGTAAAAATAAAGCCTGTGCGTCATTCGTTGAACAAGTCGTCGTGTCAAGCCTTTATACGCTAGTCCTGCATCGCATTTCATGACTTAACACAGGGACACGCCACTGACTTGCATTCTGCTGCCCCCAGCAGACGCTCCCTGCTCATAAAAGTCGGTAGTTCAACAGCTGTTGCAGGTCAGAGGACTGAACAAAGCAACAGGGATATTATTTTCCAGAACGATTTATGATTAATATATGCACTTCAGAGGGGTGCATATTTGATATTGTTTGCAGGGACGGGGAATGCCGTTATATGGGATCCAAGTGGGATTTCAGCAAAGACCGGGCAACGCTAGAACCTGTCTCATATATGAACAAATGCCCTATCTGCGCATTGGCAACACAAAATTACCTGCGAGGGGAAATGCCATGCAGTGGGACTGGTCGAACCAAGGGGACTGCTTAGACAGAGATTCAAAAGGGGAAGACGTGATGTCACTGACGATGCACCCGCTTTCTGAATTCACAAAGAAAATAGAAACTGTTCATAGGCGGATAAGAAGGAAAAGGTTAACTGTCACAGCACAGCAGGCTGTGAAAAAAGGATTGGTTGCTTCATGGGAGAACAGGAACATCCAGCATTTGAGCAAGAATATAAAGTAAAACATGTGGAAGGGGTATGAACTCTCACGTTTCACGACATAAGCCAACTTTGAACTGATTGGGGCCAAGAACAATTTCCTTGGAGGCAGGTTATTTCACTGGGAACTACTGTATCATCTTCTGAAGACACTGGCATTGGCACCCCGTGAAGACACGATAAGAGAGCAGCTGGGCGAGGAGTCCAATCCAGTTGGTAACACATTTCCAAAGCACTTGAACTAACAAAAGGAGTTGAGAAACAAAGTCCAAGGTGAAACGGATCCTCTTAGGCAGAAAAGAATGCATGTTTATTGGCAGTAAAAACCATGATTGGGAAAAAAAATGTATCAAGAAAACTACATTTTATTTTTGTTGTGGAATTTACTTTGATGTACTGTAACTTAAAAAGATCTGGAAAAACCACATGCAAAAGGGTTTCTAAGTAGCAGCTAAAGTTTCTATTCCAGCATTAACAAGCTACTCCAAATGACTTCCAAATTCCCCGCTATAAACTATTCCATAAACAACCCTTTTATCTTTTAGATCCCCTCTCCCCGCCCCTCCTATCCCAGTTAGTGCAAAGGGAAAAAAAAAAAAAAAAAAAAAAA